TCTCTCATGGCCTGTAGATTTGACTTGCGGTGCATCAGAGGTGTTACCGCGTTGTCGTGACCGAAGAGACTTAATTTCCTCTCCAGAAAAAAGTCATTTGATCAGCAACAGAATGTGCACAGCCAACCACTAAATCTCTATAAATATTTTGTTGTGTGAGATTATAATGCTTCAGTCTTGATACATCTGTAAAAGTGACCTTAAAAAAGTTATTCCATACAGATAAACAGGAAAGTGAGGGAGATATGTCATACTGTAATAATTACCTGGTTTTCTGAAAATTAAAATACCCCTTTACATTAATAAACAATGTTCTGCAGCGGTATGTGAGTGGCTGCGGGTGCCTTCGGCTGGTTTGCTGCGGAGGCGGGAGCACCTTGCCGAGTGAGAGAGCGGGGGGCCACCACGGGCTTGTTTCTCATCGCCGTGAGAATAACTTCGGGGATGTTGGGGAGGGAGTTCATTCAGGGGCAATGCAGGAAGCATGCGACGACCTGAAGCCGTATGCTCTTAATGCCTATCAGGCAAAAGATGAATAAATTGTCACAAAAAGGAAGAATATATACATGTATATGTATAGACACACACATATATAAAATCTGGATGAAAATGTGGTCACCCTTTTCTATTTTACACTTTCAGTTTGGCAGGCCTTGTGAACATTTTCAGATTTGTTAACATCAACCTTTTACAAGATAAAAATACACAATAAATACGGAAACAAGAGGCAAGTTTTGTTACAGAAACACTGTTAAATAAGCATGTGCTATAGGAAAGATGTATAATCCGGATATTATGAGCATTTCTTGGCTTACGCCTAGGAATTCACTAGAGGTTATTTTTAACAGCACTTAGATGTCTCCGATGGTGCATCTCTGCCTCGGTTCACCCCTCCCATCACGCTCAGTGCGCCCAGATTCGTACACACTCAGTAATCACTGAGTGCAGGGTCAGGCCCCAGGACACGGCAAGTCGCTACAGACACCACTGCCCATTTTCATTAAGAACAAAGTGTTCCTGCCTCACTAATATAATAGGCTTCATCATTATTCTACTTACTGTACATACAGTGTTATCAATTTCATAACTCAGGCTAAACTGCTATGTCTACATCCAGACATTTCATATGTGTGCACACTTTTCTGATGGAAAGAAGCTCTGATGCAAATGTCATGGTCGCCGCGGAGTTATGCTGACGTCTGTGGAAAAATAAAAACCGGTTTTTGGAAGGCCTTAGAAGTTAGCACCCCAAAGTTTTAGTTTTCCGTATTTTACTCCACATTCTCTCCAGAAACGAACAACATCTACCTGAGATGAAATTGCTACTGTAATTCAGATGAGTTTTCATATGATACACACACACATGCTACTTAGTTTGCATGTACATTTTATGTAAAAAGGGAATTATTCGAGTGACCATTTTAGTCATTTTGGAGCCCCAGCATATATGTTAAAACTCAACCCCTGAATTAAACCCCACCCCGTGGCAGGGCCACAGCCAACAGGAGGCAGAAGCAACAAGGTCTCCAGTCTGGCCCCAGGGTCCTTTTACTCCATCATTTAGTCTTTCTAGTGACTCTTTTTTTAAAGAAGATTTTATTTATTTTATTATTTATTTTTAGAGAGAAGGGAGGGAGGGAGAAAGAGAGGGAGAGAAACATCCATGTGTGGTTGCTTCTCACGTGGCCCCCACTGGGGACCTGGCCCACAACCCAGGCATGTGTCCTGACTGGGAATCGAACCGACGATCCCTTGGTTCGCAGCCCGTGTGCAATCCACTGAGCTACACCAGCGAGGGCCCAATGACTGTTGATAGACACTTAAAAAGTACAGCTCTGTTGCCAGGCCCATGCGCATGCTGGACACAGCTACTGCTTCCGTTTTCATCCCAGTTTAAAGGGTAAACTGACAGTCTGAGAGGTGCACTGGTGTCTGTCTGTGTAGTGTCTGCCTATCTGTTGCGAGAGTTATAACCTAATCACCTCCAGTCTGTTTTTCTGCTAGTTATCTTAAGATGACCAAAATCATGAGTTGGATTCCTGTGTGAGGCTTTCAGGTTCCTTTGCTTATTTGCTTCAGTTCGTCCTGACAGCAAACACCTGCAAGATGAGAACGGCTGCTTGATGGGACAGAGGAAGAGTCAACAACCTTCAATACACGGCGGGAAAAAGGCAGGGCGACAGCTGTTCCGTGAAAATCAGCACAATAAGGGCAGATCAGAACTCCAGAAAAAGAACGAGACAAAATGAAGAAAAGCAACCTATCACATGCAGAGTTCAAAACACTGGTTATAAGGATGCTCAAGGAACTTGGAGGGGGCCTCATAGCATACAAAAGACCCAGTCAGAAACAAGAGATACACTGACTGAAATAAAGAACAATTTACAGGAAGTCAACAGTAGCGTGGATGAAGCCAAGAACCAGATCAATGATTTGGAACATAAGGAAGCAAAAAACAACCAATCAGAACAGCAAGAAGAAAAAGGAATTAAAGAAAAAAAACCACCAAGGACAGTGTAAGCAGCCTACGGGACAAGTTCAAGGGTCTCAACATTTGCACCATAGGGGTGCCAGATGGAGAAGAGAGAGAGCAAGAAATTGGAAATCTAATTGAAAAAACAATGAAAGAAAACTTCCCTAATTTGGTGAAGGAAATAGACAGGCAAGTCCAAGAAGAACGCAGAGTCCCAAACAAGACGGGTGTGTAAAGGTCCACTCAAAGACACGTTATCGTTAAAATGCCAAAAGTGAAAGATAAGGAGAGAATCTTAAAAGCATCGAGAGAAAAGATGTTTGTTACCTACAGGGGAGTCCCCTAAGCCTGTCAGCTGATTTCTCGAAAGAACCTTTGCAGGCTGGAAGGGACTGGCAAGAAATATTCAAAGTCACAAAAAGCAGGGACCTACAGCCAAGGTTGCTCTACCCAGCAAAGCTGTCATTTAGAATCAAAGGGCAGATAAAGAGCTTCCCAGACAAGAAAAAAACTAAAGGAGCTCATCATCACCAAACCATTATGACATGAAATCTTAAAGGGACTTATTTAAGAAAATGAAGATCAAAATACGAACACTAAAATGGCAGTAAATACATACCTATCGACAGTTGAATCTAATAAACTAAGCAAACAAGAAGAACAGGGAGGCCCATGGACACAGGGGGGTTTAGATGAGAGGGGTGAGGGGGGAAGTACAAACAGGTGGTCGCAGGGCGGCCTGGGGGGTGTGGAGTGCAGTGTGGGAAAGGGAGAAGCCATGGAACTCGTACACGTGACCCATGACATGAACAGGGGGGGGGGCCTGAGGGAGTGGGGGGTGATGACTGGAGGGGGGCAAAGGAGGAAAAATTGGGAAACTGTAATAGTATAATCAATGAAATACAATTTTTAAAAAAGGAATTCAGGAAAAACACAATAATTAATCAATAGTAATACAGGAATAAACTCTGTACTTTGTCCTCACAACTGGAAACCTACTTTTGCCCCACCCTGTATAAGAAAGTCTGAAGAAAAAATAATTTAAAAAGGTTTGCAATATTATTGACTATATTCTCTATGCTGTACACCTAAAACTAATATAAAATAATATTGAATGTCAACTGTAATAGGAAATACGTTTTTTAATTGAAAACATAAACGAAAAGTTCTGTTGGAGCCGAGTCCAAGTCACCAATGACAGCGGAAGGATATAAAAGCCGTTACGGATTCGAGGATATAAAGCTCAATAGACTTGAGTTTAAATACTCAACGAGATGTTGAACTTCAGCAGGAAAGATAGTAAAATTAACACAGAAACAAGATATTTGGATTTGTAAGGCTGAGTCTGTTCTTACTGTTGAAACACAGAGAAGTGCATAAAAAACAAATTCCCAAGGGAAACTGTACTTCTTCAGGAGATGAAGGGACTGATCTCAGAGGACAGGTGGTAAAGAGAGAAAACTCACAACGTGAGCACGTAAAACAAACAGGTCTTTTTCCAGGATAAACAGATGGGAGGTCTAAAAGTAATCATTTTTCATAAATCCTGGTATCACAGGCCCAGGAAGCACCCTCTGAATACAGAGAACAGCACATTTAGCAGGAATAAAGGAAAATATTTCTTTCCACCACAAGAACTGCATGGTTGTGGCAGTAGCTGAAGATCGAAGGTGGTTCGAGAAGCCTTGGGAGAAGCCCTGAGCTTCTATGTCTCAGTAAAATGAGCAGAGGGGGGACACGCGGACAAGCCACGCTCTTCTCTGTAAGGTGTTCAGTCCTGCGGTTACAAACCTGAGTGCGTAAAGGGGGGCACCACCGACTCCACCAGGCAGGAGGAAGGGAGACACGGAACAGGCTCCGGAGCACCGGCACCCAGTGAGACCACCCCTTTTGTCTCCATCACACGTTCGGGAAGAGTCTGAGTCACCGCTACCCATCGCCTTTAATCCTCCTGCTCAGTCCCTCCTTTAAAATTAAATTGAACTAATTTAATTTTTTTTAAATGACCAATTTTCTCTCCACTGACAAAGACAGCTGCCCGGCAGTCCATGAACGGACACACAAACACTGAAGGATGCCCTACTGTTCAATCTCCTATTATTCTGACTTACTGTGTAATTCAAAAGAGAAAGGGTTGAGTGTTAGAGAATGTTCACCGTCACTTGGTGTCCAGAATGACTAATTCTGACGAGGCGTTTCTACTTATCTTCCAGGAGGTCTATCTATTACAAAATCGGACCGGTGACTCCTGCACGGCCCGCAGCCCACGCTGAACGCCTTTAAAAGTTAAACGCACAAGCAAACACCCAGAGAAGCACTCTCGGGACCTCGGGTCCCCTTCCCTAGACCGCATGCAGGCGCGGGCCCGACCAGCTGGGGAAGCATTACTTCGCGGTGGGGCCTCGCCTCGGAGCTGGGGCGGAGGGAGCTGCGGGGGGCGCCCCGAGCCCCAAGGCGTGTTCTTCGCTGAGCGACGCGGTTTCGCGGCAGGATCACGCGCTTATATGTTCTATGGGAGCACATTTACCCAGGACCCACGGTAATATCATCCACTCGACGACGGTTGGTGGCGGCCCTTGCCGGTTCAAGTCTGACCTGTCGATGTGCTGGGAAGCCAGCAACAGCAGAAACAAAAACGTCAGATAGGACGCAGTGTGGCAGATGAACTTGATGAATGGCTTTCGGATGAACAGTCCCAGGGGGCTCTTAGGAGCGATCAGGTAGCACACGGAGAAGACGGGGAAGAGCAGGCCTATGATGAAGCAGGTCACCATCTTCACGGCCCAGTGTCTCCGCCTCCACCCGGGGAACTCGTCGTACCAGCGGGAGGCCAGCAGCTGTTGGCAGTTGGGCTGGGCCACGAACTAAACGGGAAAAGGAAGAGGAGTCAGAGCTGCGTGGAGCTGCGGTTCGCAGAAATCTGATCGTGCGTTGGGTCAACGCTGCGCACGACCACGGTGGCATCTACAGATCTATGCGCTCTGACACGGACGTGTGGGCACACTCGGACGTCCATCTACACACCTGCACAATCACAGTTGCACACCCAACATAAAACGCCTTTCCCTTTCAGCATATTACAGAGTATTGTAACCATGCCATCTTATAAATATTTACGGATTATGTAACCTAAGCTTAGTTAAAATAGTGTCACAAAGTTGGGGATTAATTTTCAAAGATTTCTGTAAGAAATGTGCATTCAAAAGATAATACTTCAAGCCAAGGGAAGAACAATAAAATAAGGAGTGAACTAATTAAGTTCTCATCAGCCTTATTAAAAGGTTCAAAAGTAATTAAGATGTAACCATATCTGAGAATACACGGGCTGAAAAGCTTAAGATCGGTCACGAAGACGGATTGGTGCCCTTCAGATTCCGTCTTCCACGGACTGTCCTGACCCACCACCCCAGCCCCAAGTTCAAAGAATCTTCTATCCAGTCATCGAATCCCCTGACTACTGTCCCTGGACATGTATGTCACATTCAGATTTGCAGACTGGAGGTCAAGGCATGTATCACTAGGGCACCAACCACTCTTCAGATGTCTACCAACCCAGAAGGGGCGATGACAAATTCCATCTGGCAGTGCCGGTGAGGCGGGGGCAGGATCCAACTTCTTAAATCATTTCTGGGCCTGGATTCAAAATCGGTTTGGCAACCGAGCCGGAATGATGAGTGGGCAGTAATGGGAAGTGGAAAACACAAAGGCAAAGGAAATAAGGTGGGCGGTGAAAAAGCAACATTGCATACATTAAACCATTGAACTTGGCAAACAAGCAAAACCCAAATTAGGTGGTGGGAAGGGAAAGTCAATCGATGTTGTGAGTTCTCTGAACATGACAAAGGGCAGCAGCTGGTAGAAATTCCGCATCCACTCACCAGTGTTCCTCCTCAGGGAGCCTGTGAAGAATGATTTAAACTATCAGGAAATAACAGAGGAAAGAAGCTGCCAACCATTGCTAGGTGGCCACCCAGAGGCCTTCTTAAAAAGGAAGACAGATGTGAAAGCAGCAGGTCACACAGTCTTTAAGGTGCCACCATGTGACTGCTGGCCGTCGGTGAACAGAGGGGAGGACGGTAGCTGGAAAACTGCACAAGGCTTGGTCTTAATCTTGACCCCGCCACCCCCACAATGCGCTGGTTCCCCTGAAGAGCCGCCAACGCTTTCGGCACTGGGAGGGGCGTGTTCAGAAGGGGCGCCCACTCCCACCCAGAGCCTCCTGGTCTGGAGGGCTAGGCTCTGCTGCGCCATCTCCCATTGGGACAAAGACCCAGGGGAGGACAAAAAGACAGACTGGAGCGAACACTACCTCCTCCTACAAGGTGGAAGGATGTAGTTGCTCTTCCCAGAATGTCAAGACCACTTATTTCTGAGGACATTAAACTGTACAAGACCCGGTAAAACACGGTCTGCCTCGTACGTGCGTTTCCGAACCAGCAGCCGATGCCACCGGCAGAGTCTTGCCTCTGCCCGGCTGACTCACACACACACGATCGAAGGGAAGAGTCCGTCTGTCCCAGGCACGCCAATCGCACGGAGCGGTCAGTGTTTGGGGTCAGGAGACCGCCCTCTCTCACGCTCCCTAAACTCTCCGCTTCCCTGACAGCAACTCCTCAGACCCTGGGCTCACACATCTCCGAGGCTAAAAAAACAATACTCAGTTGTTCCTTATCTAGGGAACGAGGTTGGGACAAAACCAACCAGTCCATGAGGAGTGAGAAACGTCGCGTTTGGGGAGAGCCGAGCCCACGCTGCCACCGCCGGCAGTGCGGGCAGCAGAGGGCAGCAGAGGGCAGCAGCGGACACAGGAGCAGGAGGCACAGCCCAGAGGGTTCCGAGCACTGGCCCCGCTCCGGGTGGAGGAGCGTGAGACAGGAAGGGCCTGTCAGAGGGACTGTCCCTGCGGCCGGGCCTTCTCTCCCTCCGCCGTGCCCCAATGTCTCCCAAAGATTACCGAATAGTGGGCTTCCCTCTTCCTCTCTCTTTAAAAAACTTTTTATTGATTTGAAAAAGAGAGAGATTTGTTCTTTCATTTACTGATGCACTCATTGGTTAACACTCGGATGTGCCCTGACTAGGGATTGAACCCATGGCCTTGACATACTGGGACAACTCTCTCTCTCTCAAATGACCTACACGATGTTCTTCAGAAGCAGAGATGTGTCACTTCCTCTCTCCCCATCAGTGGCAGGATTTCTGTTTGCCTCGAGTTCAGGGTCCTCTGTTCCCGTCCAGCTGGGTCTACCCCTAGGATGGCCGCCTGAGCTAACGCGCATCTCAGTGGGAAAGGCCAGCTCACGACGAAGCCTGTGTGGAAAATGCCTTACAAACAAGGACCGGGCCAGGCACATGGGGGCCTGTGCGAGAGAAGCAGGAGCTGCGTCCCGGGCGGGAATCCCCAGCAGAACGAGCCTGCAGCCCAGGCAGCGGCCGCTGCCCCCACCCAGCCCCGGGCGCTGCTGTCCAGTGCGCGGGGAAGGGTTTAGTGCACGCGCTGCACCTCCACTTGGCCCCTGAGTTTCCATGGAAAGACAGAGGCTGGTCGTGTTGGGGTCCCGGGGTCCCGGGGCCCCCGTACCGAGTGCCGCGCACCCGGCGGCAGAAAACAGCAGACACTTAGTGTCTCCTTATTACCTTTGGACTGGAGGCTTCCAGTCCAAAATCAAGGAGTGGGCAGCGTCGCGCCCCCTCCGGGACCCTGGATGGAGCCCCCGACCCGTGCGAACCTCTGGCCAGATGCCCCTCGGCTGGCAGCTGCGTCCTTTCACCTCCTTCTCTGCTGTCACTCGCTCTCTCCCCACGCGGCTCCTGTCACATGCGTTCTGTCATCCGGCAAGGACACGGGTCACACTGGATCAGGAGCCTGTCCCGCTCCAGGGTGACCTCGCCTAAACTACTTTGATCGGTGTGACCTGTGACCCTGTTTCCAAATGCAGCAGAATTCTGAGTTTCTGGGGTGAGGAGCTGAAGGCTTCGTTCTGGGGGGCACATAACTCACACACGGCACGGACAGTCACCCGTGTTCCGGTGGCTCCCCAGGGGACGGGTCGGGGTTCCACGGTTTTCATAAACATCGCTATTTCAAATGCATTACACGTATTTCAAGTCCGTAAATACTTTCCTTCCATGTTTAATTTCCTTCCCTCTATTCTATTTTTTTATTTCCTTATTTTCTCATGAGGACTGATGATAAATGATGCACCTTTAAGATTCTCTGAGACGAGAAGGTCCTCTACATAAAACCTTCTCCCATACCAGTCTGCTACTGTGATTAAATCTTCTTCCTAAGGGCTTCCTGGGAAAGGGTATATTTGAACTGACATAAATTATTCAGCTGCTGAGGGAAGCAAGGCATTAAAAATCTACACAACTGTTACCTAGTTAAACTACAGCTTTCGTGTGATGGAATTTAAAAAGTGAAGTTTGGGGGCTGGAAAAAACGAGAGGCATGAAACCTTGATCGGACTGCGGGCTAAACCCCGAGGGAAGGACTCGCAGGGCTCAGGGAACTCGCAGGTGCCGACCTGAGGAAGCGCACCTGGGCTGCGGTAGGTGACAGGAAGTGCCGACATAAGAGGAACTGTGACTACCCAGGGATGTGCCTGGTTTGACCACATTCCTGAGTTTACATTATCAGACCATGTTTTCTTCTATCAGAAAATGATCACTTGAAAGTCATAGAGGCACAAAAAGCGAGAGTCCCTGGGCTCCAAAACACTCTGTTGCTCGACCCTAACTCCCTCTGACCATGTGTACGTCAACCATCCAAACACCAGAACGAGAAAACGACTCAGATGTTTAGAAATGGACTCAAGGTTTGAACAGACACCTGTGCTGAACAAGCACATGAAAGACGCTCAGTGTCCCTTGTCCCTGGGGACGTGCGGGTGAAAACCACAAGCAGGTGCCATCACACACCCACGGGAAGGGCTGGAATAAACAGACGGTGACATGTGTCGGTGGGAATTCAGAGAACCGAACCCTCACCCATTGCCCATGGGGAGGTCAATGGCCAATCAGTCTGTGAACAGTTTTCAGGGGTTTTTTTAAGTTAAACCTGCACTCACCATAAAATGGCCTCGTTTTGATCCCAGGCATTTACAGTGATTTGCATGGAAAGTGGTACAATAGTTAATAAATAATAATGCAGAAAAAGAGAAAACAAGGTGTATGTCTCTTCTTCAAAGACGTTCACATAAAGGTCACGGCAGGTTGGAGGCGACAGCTGAAAACAAGGACCAATCCAAACACCCAACGCACAGCAAACGGAGAAACAAAACGTGGTGTGTTCACACCGTGAGTGACTCAACCATTCAACACAGAGAGAAGGGATGACGGACGGACGGACACACACACGGCAGATTCGCGGAGTCATTATGAGTGAAGCAGGCAGAGTCGAAAGAGCACCTGCTGGGTGAGTCCATTCATACGGACTCGAGACTGCGAGGTGGCCCACGGTGACAGCGGCAGGGCGCCAGGGGCCGGGGGAGGGGCGGGTGTGCAAAGAGATCATTACAGGGCAGAGGAAGCTGTGGGGGCAAGAGGTACGCACCTCTGTTCACTGGGTGGGAAGTGCCCACGGATTCACTGCAAATACGTCCGGTTTGTGCTGTGCCCCCTGTGCCTCAACAAAGTTGCTGAAAAACGTCCCAGACTTGCCGGTATCACAAGCACGTTCAGGATGACTTATCTGCCTCGACCTGTTACCACGTGGGCCTCCTCACCTTGTGTTCGTCTCTTTATTTCGTGGCCAGACCCCTCCTGGTTCAGACTGGCCCGAGACACTGCCGACACCTCAGAGGTCGTCATCACAGGGCTAAGCTCGGAAAGCAGGTCTCCTTTCTGCCCCAGCCGTTAGCCTCCC